ACTCACTCTTTAGCAATGACTTCATGTGTAATATATGAATGAATTGCATAATTAGCTAATAGATATAAGAACATATGAATGATGATATGATATGCATGGTCCTATAGAGATGAGCTTCAAATGGATTCATAAATACTTTGACATTGAATCCTAAATACTCACCATCCTATCTACCTTTTTCTTCAAGCTTTGTCCATGATTGTGTAAGCTTTCAGGTAGACTTGCTTCTTCCTTTCTTTGAGTTGCTTTCTTGTTTGTTGTAGTCCAAGCTATCTTTGGATGGACTTTGCATTTACTTCTCTGCAACTTCATGTCTTCTTTGTATCCATTACTTTCTTTGATGTGATCTTGAATAATGGAATACTTGGAATTGACTTTATGATCTTCATTGAGGTCATCATTTGAATGTGAATAATCTATAACACTCAATGTAAACATTAGTTCTTAAACACCATTAATGGTTTGTTATCATCAAAACCTCTAGATTGTCCTTGGATGAAATCATTAAGGTCAACAACCACACAAATACCATGCATCAATTCCATCCATTTTGTTATTTTTAGAAGCCTCACATGTATTATACTACTCATTAGAACCAGTATCTCTTTGAACACAATGAATTGATTATGATTAAGGGGAATCAATTTAATATGAATTAAAAATAAATAAAAAAAGAGCACTGTACATGAACACTTTAAACATATTTACTAATATCATCACCATAAAGCATGCCATAATAATATTCCACCGTTAGCTTGAATTTTGGATTAAAGATAACAATTGCTAACACCTAGCTAGCACACTCCTTCTAATATTCATCAACCTTTATTTTCAATAGACTAGGCATTAACCAAAGAAAACTATGTTCACTATTTTCCAAGTCAATTAAATTCATTTATACATCACAAATATATCATGAAAATACATATTTGAAGTTAGATACTCACTATCAGAAAAATAATTTGTTGCATCATAAAAAATTCTGAAGCAACCACTTAAAATCCTTGTCGCTTCTCATTCCTCATTAGTGGATTAAATTTATAGCCACGATTTGTCTGTGCTAACCAACAAAACATAAAAATGTGAAATTCCACTAAGTAGGGCAATATATTTTTAGGCCTTTTTATTTATTTATTTTTTATTATTTGTTGTGAAACTGTAGTTTTTTGCATCATTAAACTTTTGTGTTGCATATGGGGATCTTTTCAAATACTTTACTTTTTCTCTAAACTTATGAATAAAGTCTCTAATCACTTTTAAGCGATCTTGCATAACCAAATTTAGTATATGTAAAATACAACACACATGAAATAAATCACCATCAAAAGGCAGCAAAGACTCGTCACAAAGCCAATTTTCTTCGAAGTCACAAAGAGTGTTTTAATGAGTAAAGTTTGAGTATTTGAATGAAAATACCTTAATCAAGGTACCTTTGAAGTTACGAGAGTGTTTTAATAAATAAAGATTGAATCTTTTAATGAAAATGAGGATTTTGAGTTAAACTTATTCGAGTTCCCTTTGAACAAGCTTCTCACCATGGCATCATTAATAATTGCATAGTTAACCACAATAGAAAATAACATTTTATCAATATTCTGATATTATATTAATTATGTGATGTATCTAAAAAGAGGTTCATGTCATAGGAATATTCTATGGACTTATAAGCAATTTTTTTTCCTTCAAATCCTATTAACATCAACAAATAAGATTTCAAACATATATATTCCAATATCATAATAATTAAGAGTCCATATGTTAGTAGTAAAAGTGATCCTACTAGAAAATTGATTTTTTTTTTTTATAAAAAACATTCAACTTATTTTTCTCATTTGCTTGAACATAAATGATGTTGGCCCTTACCCTATTCTTTGACACAAGTTCAAACATTAATTAAAACCATCCACAAATATCTCAAAAATATTTATGCTGAACCATGTTAAATAGATAATTAACCATCCTTGCAAAATCCATTTGACTTATTTCTTCATCAAACTTATTACTTTGAACTTTAGTAGTTAAGTTTGAGGCGTTTTGGCCAAAGATAGCATTTGTTGACCAATATTAATACGAGTTATTGCAACACATCTAGACAAATGAGTTTTCAGGTGGTTGATCCCTATAATATTTTCTCATACAAATTTATGTTTATAATGCTTACACTTTGCAATCTCCTCGTCATTTGTTCATTTTAGTTTATAAATTATTGACATACCAATGATGTGAACTTTCGCTTCTTGGGAGAATTTGGAGTTGAAATATCATGTACTGTAATGACATCCCCATCACCATCATTTTCATTAGCAAACATTGTGAACATGCAACTCAACTGGATCAAATCCTAAGGTTTTGCTTGGGTTGATGGAATTGGAAGGAAAGAGAAAATGAAAAAAGAGGGAGGGATAATGATTTTCATGTTTTGTTTTCCACTGAGGATAGAAAATAAATCATAAGGAGAGATTTGGAGGGATAACTTAACCCTCAAAATCTCTCATTTATTTTCCATCCAAAAGGAGAAAGATTTGGTGTCAGAACCGGCGTCGTCTCACGTAGATAGTGTCCGTTTCGCACAATTTTCATGCTTACGGTTTCAAAATGTGTTTATACACTTAGGAGGTGTCCACACACAAACACCCATTCTTGGAATCCATTGTCCTCGCTGGCCTGGCCTGCATGGGCTTGTGCACTCTCAAAACACGTCTATACAGTTGAGTGTCGTCAAACCTTTCCCCCCTAAGCGATGTGGGATGCCATCACCCCTCTTGGGACCCGGCATCCTCGCTGGCATGACCCTATAGGCTTGTGCACGCCCGGAATTAACTCTAATACCATCGGTCACATACCACCACACCTCGTATAGATATTGTCCACTTTGTATACTCTTCGTACTCGTTTTCAAAACGTGTTTTCACAGTTAGGACGTTTCGACACATATAAGTGCCAACAACTTTTCCCCTCAGGCCATATGAGACGTCACAATATCTACACGTGGCGAGGCGAGATGGGTCATGACAGATTATATCAGAGCCAATCTCAAGGATGCACAAACCTATACGGATCATGCTAATGAGGACGCTGGTCCCTAGAGGGGGGATGGTAGTTGGCTTCCTTAACTAACAGATTCACTCGACGCTAATATCCCACATCACCTAGGGAAGAGGTTTGAAGACATCTAATTGCGTAGATGCGTTTTGAGGAAAATCGTGAGCACCGAGAGTAAAGTGTGCAAGCGGACAATATCTACACGGGTTGGAGTGGGTTGTGACATTTGGAGAGAAAAAATAATTTAAATGAAACTTTTCTAATACCAAAAATAACCATAACATTTTTAAAAGAAAAAGATATGATAATAAATTAGTTAAAATAATTTATTTTCTTTTCTCTCTCTCTTTCTCTTTACCTGTCTTGCAATCTTTACTTAAAACTTGAGAGTTAAGACCCAAAGCCAATAGGACATTGTAGACCAATTAAGCTTGATTTCCTTATAACTAAAGAAAAACTAGGTGCACCTATTATAGCTCCCACAAGTTCTTCTTATATGTTAATTAGGTCAAATTTTGAGACACAAACTTGGTCTTTTTGAAAGAGAATAACAAGATAATAATACAAGTTAAAAAAAAAGTATCAAAATTATTTTAAAGTAGAGGGTTGTATCAAAATTATTTTAAAGTAAAGGGTATTTCTGTATCTTTACATCATTTTGTGCAAAAACAACTTCACAACATTATGCAACAATACATTACATTGCTTAAGTAACAAAAACGGCTTTCATCTGCTCTACTGACTTTTTCATTATTAGTAATTTTCGTACTAAAATTTTAATAATTATAAAAAAGCCCACATTGAACCCTTAAAAAGGCCACAAAAATTAGGAATGTCAATTTTTACTGCCTCGCCAGGGTCCCGCCCCGTTAATAACGGATATGGGAACACTTTTTATACTGTTGGAGCAGGTATGGATACATATTTTGTACCCGTCGCTGGTCACGGGACGGGTAAGGGTTCAGTATACATATCATAGGAGCCCCGCCCCGCCTCGCCTCGCTAAGTATATAACTATATATATATATATATATATATATATAATATTAATAACTTATTTTAGCGGTTTACCCAGTTACCCATCTCTTACAATCATAATGTGGGAAATAAACTTGGTATTAAATTTGCTTTTGTTTTGGTCATGGTAGAAGTTGGAGCTTAGAACTTCTTGTGATTTAGTTGTATTAAACTTTTATTTTTGTTTATTCTGTTCTCGAATTATGTTATGTGCATGTTATTTTTTTTATTTTTGTTGCTATACATAATTTCATTTATGTTGTGCCATTCTTAGACTTTCCACATTTAAATAACAGGAGCTTAAGTTCCAAAAAGTGGGAGAAAAAAATTTGTTAGTGGGGCGGGCACGGGGGCACAGTATTTCCCAACGGGACGAGGCTGGACATGAAAATCCAACCCGTCACGGGTTTTGGGGCGGGCATGGACTTGACAAAAATTAAAAAGGATAGGGCGGAATTTAGGGAAACCCGCTCCAAATCAGTCCCGTTGCCATTCCTACCAAAAATTCTTAAAAAAAACTTTCAAAAAGAAAAAAAATATCCCTCATTTTCTAATTCACCACCCATCAAAATTTTCAAAAATTCAAAAATTCAAAAAAGACCCATTTTTTTTTTTCCGCAATTGAGTCACACAAATTTTTAGAAATCTCATTTGCTATGTAATTATTTCGGTTAAAACTCTGACACGAGGAGATTCGGATTCTAATCGAACTATATATTTGTTTTTTTGTTTCGACAAAATGAACAGACTAATTCATACTCTATATGATTTTATTTTAAAATATTTTGATAGTATAATTTTGTAAGATATGTCTAAACTTGAGCAACATAATAATATGATTTGTCCACCACTAATGTGCTAATTTGAAGAATACAGCGAGGGGCAACTTGAGAGGGCCTCCGAGGGGTATTTTGGTATCGCCAATAAATATCGAAGCCCTAATAAGCAAATACCCTCATAAACCCGTTTTCATATATTCCAGGCACGCCGAGACAATATCGAAAACACGAAAAGGGATTATTGGTGAAAGCTGCTAGGGTTTCCAGGTTTTGCTTTAGGGTTTCAGGTTCTTTTCTCTTTTCTTCTCTCTGTACACGCATAGACATCCCTGTTTCTCCCGTTTTCTTTCTCGTTGTCTCGGATTATACGTTGTCATGAAAATTCAAATTTTTGTCAGATTTGTTAAGATCAAGCATGTGATGCATACAAAATTGACTGATTTATCGGACTGTGTTTGTATTTTATTGATTTGGTTCAGTTAAAAAAAGGTGAAAGGTCCAATTTGCTTTTGATTTCCTTTTTTGTTAGTGTTTGAAGAATTTATTCAGCTGCGTTTTCTTTTAGGACATGACAAAACCCTAGGTCTATGTTTTCCGCTATATCTGTTTCATTTTTTCTTAATATGTTGTTTAATATGTTGTTCACAGAGTTCTTCACTAGATCTACATTTAGTCTAATGTATAATTGTGACCATATACTGGTCGACCTTTGCCACTTGCCATGTACTGAGATAAAATCTAGAGCGTATGATGAAGAAATTTCGTTTCTATATGTATTTGTTGTATTTAATGCAAAATGAAGAAAATTGTGGGCTTATATTATTCTTGGGCTTTTTTCTGGTATAAATTATGTTCTAATGACAGGCACTTAGTCTAGAAGATGTCTCGTGTATATGTTGGGAATTTGGATCCACGCGTCACCGAGCGAGAGCTTGAAGATGAGTTTCGTGTGTTTGGAGTTATCCGCAGGTAAACAGTTTGAGCCAATCTATTTTCCATCATATGATTCTTTTATATTGCTCCAGCTTGTGGATAAAATTTAGACTATTTATCTATAAACACTGGTACATACTATCTATTATATTATATTATATTGTATTTTATTGCTGCTTTTAAATGCGTTTTTTGTTGTAGCTTTGAAACATGATGTCTGGTATCCTTGGAAGCTAACATGTGAAGTTCGTGTGAAGTTGAATGCTGTTGCTTTAGGATTAACTTTTTTGAATAATGTTTATTTTTATTTTAGGTTCTTGTTTATGTAGGCCTTGATTATTTTTGTTTGGGTTGCTACAATAAGGACTATTATAACTAGATTGACTGGGGTGGTGAAATACTTTCATTTGGTAAAAGCTTCTTCTTCTTCTTTTAGTTTACAGGATGTCGGAAAATATTCAAGTCATAGCTCCCATGCCGATATTTTCTTCTAAAAGTCTACTATTGATAGTTAACTGGCTTTCAATTCTTAGAATAATCAGGCAATGTCTTCCTCACATGACATCGATAGTACACATCACATTTTGGGTTTTTGTCTGTTCTGGTTGACTAACTTGGTCTATTTTAGGTCTAAAATAAGGTAATCTATTCATAATCATTTGAAACCACTTCCGACCACTTCCTGTAGTGGTCAGACATGCATCTTTCCACCATCACATAGTTCAATATTGGCATGTACCACGTGTAGAAAAACACAATCTTCTGGTGACAGTCCTCCAAACTCTTGACTAATCCTAAGATTTTAGGTGTAAACATGAATTGTTTAATTTAGAAATGTATAATTTGAGGTGTATGCTTTTGCAATGCTTCCATAATTTTTCCCACACCTTTTTAAAGCATTAATTTTAAGTGTTGTAATTACGTTATGATCACAAGTGTGTTGGTTATCCAGTCTTATTGATTGTTGGACCCATTCGTTGTTGCAATTGGTTTTTCTGGATAGCATTTCTTCTTATCCCTTTTTACAAAAAAGGCCATGTGAATCTCTTTTTGTTTGGCCGGTTGGCTCATGCAAACCATGCCACAATGCGACAACTTTATTAAGATACTAAACCAATTTTACTAAGATACTAAACCACAATAACAAAACCAAATGTTACTACTTTGAAGTAGGTTCTTACTTGGCTAAATAAAAAAATCAGTATGCTAGGATCCATTTGTATGTCATTGCTTGTGGTGTTTCTGCCTTGAAAGTTGCATCAAGCCAATTGTTTAGGCATCAGCAATTTTTCAAGATAACCCGACTTTTCGTTTAGAAGATCTTTATTTGGCATTGGTGATGTATACTCCTATAATTAATTGTTGTGTATTTTTTGTTTGAATATTTTAAATGCAGTGTTTGGGTTGCAAGAAGGCCACCAGGGTATGCTTTTATTGATTTTGATGACCGCAGGGATGCGCATGATGCAATTCGTGACATAGATGGTATGTGTAGATAGTGGCAGCTCCCAGACACAATATATTGCCTTTTTTTTTTATTGACATTTTAACTACATGACAACTTTCTTCTAGAAAAGGCATTTCTTTTATTTTTCCCCTTTGTCTGCTTCTATCTTTGGACTTGCTGTCACGTTTTTAATTTTTTTCCTTCTTTTAAAATAATATCCCCTAAATTTCTGAGCATTTGCAATAGTGTTATGTTGGCATTTAGATCTGACAACTTTATTTTTAGGAACAATACATCTAACTATGGACTTTTTAATTTTAACAAGTTCCTCATAATTGTGCTTATCAAGAGACTCAAAAGAAAAAAAGGCCATAGTTTGATCAAGTCTTTAGTATGATGAATGGTTAGGCATGCATGCTGGTTTTGTACATTTTTGGTTAAAAGTTGAGTTCCTTTGACTACTTTACTCATCCCCCCAACCACCACCACCAAAAAAAAAAAAAAGGTTGAGTTCCTTTGGTTACTTGATTTTGGAATTTTTAAATAGAAGTCAAAGCAAATATTGCATACTTTTGAGGAAGGTCTAAGAAACGCGGTACTACCACGGTTACTAGTTAGGACTTAGGATTGATAGATAAGCTTTTACTTATGGAGACATGGCCTTTACCTAGCAGTTGTGTCTGTTCCCTTCTACAAGAAATTGATTTTGGAATTTTTAAATAGAAGTCAAAGCAAATATTGCATACTTTGAGGAAGGTCTAAGAAACGCGGTACTACCATGGTTACTAGTTAGGACTTAGGATTGATAGATAAGCTTTTACTTATGGAGACATGGCCTTTACCTAGCAGTTGTGTCTGTTCCCTTCTACAAGAAATTGAATCCCCCGTGTTGGGATTCTTTATCAAATGCACTTAATTGGATGGTAACATAATTTGTTCATTATTAAGTAATGATATGAGTTAATAGACAGAATCTAAGTGCTTATTGGAAGAACCTTGAACAATATACGCTTGATTCAAAGGGAAGGGCACAAGAAATGCTAAAATCAGGCTGACATTATTAGAATGAAGCAATGTTATCTGTTTCCATTCAGTATGTGATTGCAGCATTTATCAAAAGATGATGTTGTCTGCTCACCCAACCCTTCAAACAAGGAGAAGTAGAATTTTGCCAAGTTTGAAATATTAAATTACATAAATGGCTTTTAAATATATTTTGTTCAATTAGTTATATAAATGAGGTTGTGTGCTCACAGTTTCCCTGCAGTATAAGTGGGTAATATGTGAATCTGATAACTTTTTCAATCCAATATTTTCCAAGAATCCTTTCACTTGCAAAGCAATGTGTAAATTTTATCTGCATCCCCCTCACCCCATCCCAATAAAAAACATTTTTTGTTAAATATCTGATGCACGTCTTCAAGGCATATTCTCAAGTTTTTGCCTTACTACTCATGGAATAGGTAAGAATGGCTGGAGAGTGGAGCTTTCTCACAACTCAAGAGGTGGAGGTGGAGGTGGCGGCGGCGGTGGTGGCCGAGGAGGCCGTGGACGTTCTGGTGGTTCTGATTTGAAGTGTTACGAGTGTGGTGAGCCTGGTCATTTTGCCCGTGAATGCCGTATGCGTGATGGTGGTGGTGGTGGTGGTGGTGGTTATGGAAGACGTCGCAGTCGCAGCCCCCCTAGATATCGCAGAAGCCCAAGTTATGGTCGAAGGTGAGGTCATTGAAGCAGTTATTGTACAATTTTGTGAATGGAGTGCCTTTCTATTATCATTATACTGAATTGAATGGCACATTGTGGTTGTCATGCAATGTTTGAAAAAAGTTCAGTGGCCTATATGTATTTGTGTCCTTACCACGAATAAATGTGATAGATGTGAAATAAATGTGGGAAATTGACACTCGTGATGAAATATTTAACTTGGTTGAAACTTGTACATTTAATACGTTGCTTTGATACTCATTGGTGTACACTGAAGCAGGAGTTACAGTCCTCGTGGGAGATCCCCCAAACGTCGCAGTGCATCACCTCGTGGTCGCAGCTTTAGCAAGTCGCCACCGTATCGTGGACGTGATGAGTTGCCATATGCCAACGGGTGAAGTTCCTTTCACTTTAGTCTCTGTTTATTTATTTTAAAAAATTTGCTGTTGGGAAAGGCTCTCTTTGGAGTTCAAAATTACCTGTTGGCAACCCTGCTGAGATAGCAAGTCAATAATTTTAAAATTGTAACAATAGAAGAAATAAGGGTGCATTCTTCTTTTCTTTTTGTTGTTGATTGCTTCTTTTTCAAATCCCAATTTATGTATGCTTTCACCAATATCTCCTACTGCTCATGTTGAAGAAGTATTTGCGCTTGTATTAATAGCCTTGTGCCTTTCGTTTTGGTAATATTAGCTGCTGCTCCATATATAATGCTTCTGATATTAATAGGCGAACCTGAAATGAAATTTAATGAATGTCATCATACTTGATGATTATCTTTGCTACTACTTGATGCTACTTATAATAGACCATGACAAATCCCTGCCAGAAATGGCATAGATATTGATGGTTGAGAACAATTTGAAATCATAGAACTCAGTTCAACTTAGAAATGCTTTGGGTTGTAGATTAAAAAGGTTTTCTGGTATAAGAAAGAAGGTTCCAGTGTTTTTGTGGGAAGATTCATGGAACTCTTGTCTGTTATATAGGAATTAATTTTCTGTAAAGCTAAACAAAATAAGCCCCTTTATTATTAAAACCAAGAGAGTAAGGCTCTGTTTGGCGGAACGTAGTTTTAAGTTGACAAATTTATCCTTAAATAACTGCCCTCAAGCTTTTCCAGAAAGAGTACAAACCTGCCCGTAGTTGAATTGTCATATAGCATGAATAAAGAAAATTAAAAAGTGGTAAAATATAATTAAAGTGAAGAAGTAAATATCACTGATGATAGAGCTCATGTTCATACTTCCATTATTGTCATGCTCATCATTTATTGAGGATGAAAAAGAGCTCTCCACTTTACTATCAAAATTCTTTATGTGACTAAGGAAAACGATGAGATGGCACAACTAGCGTGTGTGCGCCTTCTAAGGTTAAATTGCTCTTAAAAATTAGCAGGTTTTTGAAGACTTGCCAACTATTTAGAATTCTTATAGAACTTGTTTAATTAGAAAAAAGTATGTAAGTATTGGAATTTGGATGAGAGCAGAAGACTATCAGGATCAATATCTCATCGTTCTTGTTTATCTACAGAGCACAACATGGGCTAGTTTCACGAAATAAAAGGGGGCATATTTGTCTATAAAATTTGTTACTATAAATTAGGCTGGCTTCCCGAGGAATGAGTTTCAAAAGCAAGTATTTCAAACTTTCTGTGAACAGACTTCTTAGGACTTCTTCTTTTGTTAGAATTCCTTTTTCCTTGTTTCACCAAACATCAAAATTTTTTTGAAAAGGACTTTTTGTACTTGGAAACCCGTTTGAAGCCTCTAGGAAGCTCCCCCAAACAGGCACTAAAAGCTCACCTCCTATTTCCTCCTACATGATCCTCAAAACTCAACCTCATCTCTGTTAGCTATTACATGACCTTGGTGCAATGTCTCTCTTTCTATTTGTCCTCTTTTGCTGCACCCTCTGTTGTTGGCTTTGTTGCTGATGGCTTCGATGGATCTTGGGCTGTCACCGATTAGCTTCCATAGAAAGGACGATCTTGAAGACAGGAGAAAGGAGGACCAAGGAGGACCTGGCGACGATGGTTGAGGGGGTCAAAGTTGTTCTAATACTTGGTATTTTTCAGCAGCACCAATGATCCTATTGCCTATCTTGTTGGAGTTATTTTGGCCAGCATTTTCCTGCCATTCACACTCTCTTGAATGATCTAGTAGTGAACAAAGAAATTAGAGAGAGGAGTAGAAAGATGAAAGATCTTTGGCTACATTTGTTATGAAGGAATGGAATAAGAATGGAATGACCATTCCCATTCTACTATTTGGCTGTAGAAATGAAATGATGCAAGAATGGAATGGTTTGAATTTTAAAGTGAATTCTCTAACATACCCGTAGTGACAAATAAATTAAACTAACAAAATAACATTCTTCAATAATATATTAAAAAGAAAATTAATATTTACACTTTATTGTTCTATACAAGTGCTTATTTACAAAAAAAAAATAAAAAATCTTAGAACAAGAATAATTTTTTTAAATTTTATTGTTTGTCAGGTTATTCTTGCAGAGAACCTGTCTTGATTAAAAAAAAAATTGTTACCAAACGAGAGAGAGAGAGTGAAATACGTATATACATAGAGAGGCTGGGGATAACACTAATCTGGAATTTGTGTAGTTACTTGCCACTAGAAAGAGAGAGAGAGATAAATAGGTGAGAGAGTCAAGCCCGAATATCGAAGAGCCGAGCTGATTTCCGACAGTGCTTGGTCTCCGACCATTGCCAATGGCTGATTTCAGACGCAATAGTGGTACGTTGAGTTTTGAGATAGGGATGGGCTTCTTTTTTTTTTTTTATTTTTATTTTTAATATTTTAGGTGGGAATGGATGCATTCTTTAGGTTAAGAAGTGAAATGGTCATTCTAGCTTTTTGTGGGAGGGAATGGTCATTCAAACTTTAAAATTTCTTACCAAACAAAAGAAAGGGAATAAGAAGGCTGAATGGGCATTCCATACCATTCTCATGTACCAAATGTACTGATTTTACCTCTCCATTCCTTTAAAGCTAAACCAAAGTTGGAATGTTCATTTCCACAAAAGATAGAATGAGCATTTTCTTCTTGATTTTAGGAATGCTCATTTCATTCCCACGTAAAACCAAAACAAAATTAATCAAAGACCAAATAACCGTCTCCCACCCACCCAAAAAAAAAACACCAACACCAACCACACTCACAATGCAAGTGTTTTTCTCTTTATTTTTTAGGGTTTAATTCAACATTAAAAATCCCTTAAATTGTATTCATTACTTAGTGTAACCTTCTGCAACAAGCCGACGGCAATGGGCAACAGTGATGTCCTCCTCAATTCTCTCCTCTCTCATCATGGATTCTTTTTGTTGGTTATCTTCCTCTAACAAATAACAAGAAGCCAACGGCGACCAATTCATTTAGCTATATGTTAATTTGTTATTTAATTTATTTATTAGAGATACAACTATTTTGGACAAATCAATTTAAGACCCTATATGGGCATAATTATTCAATTCTTGTGTCATTCCATACAATCAAACAGTATAATGAGAATGGTCATTCCTTTCTTATACCATTTTCATTCTATTCCCTCGTGCATTGCATTCCTACGTTGTTCCTTTCTTGTACCAAATGTAGTCTAAGATAGAGAGAGGATGAAATGAAAGTTAAAAATGAAGTTTAATGAGGTCAAATTTGGAGTTAGAAAGAGAATGCTGATAAAATTAAGAGTTTTACGTTCTATCAACGAGGGGATGATATGGTATTTTTCATTTTCAGGACACGGGACAAAATAGGAAATACATTTAGTTCTGCAATGTTAGATTATCACTAATGGGTTAATTGTATCATGATTCATGACCATTAAAATGGTTTGATGGTCATAACAGCAAAAATTAGTCATGTTCTTTGGCTATTAAGTTCTGTTGTTTTTTAGTGGCAATCTGGTGATGGTGGGACTGATTGCAATTTACATTGGCCATAAAATTTAGTTCAGGGGATAGTAGCAAAAAATGGAACACTACAGGGGTCAACTGCAATATAATGGGACTAATATTTAAGTCTCGTCTGTCAGGATTCCCCCCCTCCCCTCGAAAAATAACATAAAATAAAATGAAAAGAAGGAAAAGTCCAACCAAGTTTGTTCATGTTTCACTCATTTGATACAACAATCGACATAACACCGGTTGTCGGTTGTTTGCTAGAATCAACTAACCAAATCAGATACAATAACAGCTATTGGGGTTGAAAGAAGAATAATTTATTTGCTTGCCTACCAAATTTTGGAGAAGGCATCGAATCCTCTGGTTTTCATGAAGGCTTTCTGAAATTATGTTTTGGACATGCATTTTTCTATACAATGTAGCCAACCCCAAGTAATTGGGAAAGAGACTTGGTAGTTGATGTTATATCTTTTTAGACAACGTGAAAAGTGGTTGTAATAAACGGAGTCATTTTGGGGATCTATATCACAATATGAGTTGAAAGATATTTGCTGGACTCATTTGTGGTGACATATCTTTAGGGTACAGTATGGTGTCATATTATGATCTTTTCTTTTTTATTCTTTATGGAAAAAATCTGTAAGAATTTCAACATCTTTTGCTAAACGTTGTTTCTTTCTGAATTTATGCAGAAATGGTCTCAGGGAACGAGTTGAACGACGCCGAAGCAGGAGTTGAATATTTTAGGCTTGGTAACTTCTTTATTGAGAGAGGTTTTGGATTTGTGTGTCTTTACTATACTTGGACTTCATTGCGACTATGTTTAAGTTGGGGGCGCCCTCAGTTGCGACTCATGAATTTGGTTAAGTTTCTTTCTTACTTTATATGAAGGCTTGTTAACTTTCTTTTCTTCGCACAGTAATTGTAGTTGTGTAGGAAGTGGATCTTAAGGTAGCCACTATAAAATTATGAAATATATATATATATATATAAAGGAACTGAAAGAGTATTGCTAAAGATTTATGCTTTTGTTTTTTGTGTCGAGGTGTCTTCATGATCTGCTTCATTGGTTTTGTGCTTCTGCACTCTTCTCTGGTTTCGTTCCTCGCGTCCCTGCTCTGGGATCTCAATTTTTCTGCACTCTTCTCTGGTTTTGTCCCTCACATCCCTGCTCTGGGATCTCAATTTTGAATGGTTGTGGGTCCCAGCTGGCTTCATCACTAGAGGCTTCTGTTTGATAGAATCTCTGCGGCTGCGCCTCTCTTTTATTATGCTGGCATTTCTTTTAGTTACCCATAAGGATTGAGGAGCTGCTTCAAACACCTATGGCAGGTACTTAAAATATGTTCCAAGAAATTTTGGATATGGCATTCTCCTTAAACTAATTGAATTTCATGTTTATTCAAACTGGATTTTGAAAGATTATTCCTTTAATAATTGGGTTTCTTGCTTCTCAAAACAACTGAATTTCCTATTTTTGTCTGCCTAGTTGGGAAAATGAAGAAATGGCTTTCTAATCTTTTCAACCCTTTTCTTTTGCAACTTTATTCGACTGGAGTGGCTGTCATAAGTTTCCCCACACAAAAAAACATTTAAACAAGTATTTATTGTCTCACAACCCTCGGCAGCTACATGGTCATTTTAAACACAATTGAAATCTTTGAGTTCCTGATTTTGGGTTAGAACTTACTTGGGAGATGGAGTTATGGATTTTTTTTAGAAAAGTAACATTAATTTGGGGTTGTCATCATACATTTTTGGTCACATCACAAAGACATGTCATATATGTACATATTGTCTTGCAACCCTTGGCAGCTACATTGTCATTTGAAACACAATTAAAATCTTTTGGTTCCTGATTTTGGGTTGGAACTCACTTGGGAAATGAGTTTTGAAACTCTTTCGCATTCTCCCACTTTTATGGCTTGTTGACATTATTTTTTTCATAAAAGTTTCATTATTTTGGGGATGTTGTTTTCATGCATTCTGGTACATGACCTCCAAGTAAATGGTGTTACTCCCAACTTGCAAGAATGGTCCTCCAAATTTTAGGGAATCAGTGACAGTTGGACTTCTACTTGAAGAGTACCTTTGATTGCCTCTGATGAAGATCTCAACCAGCTGATGGAGATTTTCATACCCGGAATAGACATTGTTGCAAGCTCCCACTTCTTAACATGGTATCTTTAATTTGATTTGCATAAGCTTCATTGCAAAACCACTTGCTGGATGTCTGATCTATTAAAATTTGGCTCCTCATGTTTTTCTGTCATTAATGTGCACCTACATTTGAAACTTGTGATGAGATTTTGATGTTGGTTCAAATGATCAACAGATTGTGAGAATTAAAATGTGAAAGACTTTTTAAATTAAAATGTGAAGAGTTTTTTAAAATTAAAATGTGAAGAGTTTTTTAAAATTAAAATGTGAAGAGTTTTTTTTATGTTTTTTTGAAGTAGTTCCCAAAAATAAATAAATAAGTAGTTCCCAAAATGCTTTTTGTCCAATAATTAGGTTTCTTGACCGATTGGCTCCATGAACAAATTTCATTGTTTATTGGAGCTGTGTTTTTGGTCTTTTTGAAGTGTTTTTTGATATGGGAATTATAGTAAAGCTAATGGATAAAATTGGAAGTGTTTCCAGTCTAGGCGCCTCAAACGGACACATGCACACACCCCTTGTGGTTGCTTTAATATCTATTTATATTTATATATGTATTTATATAAATGTTTGCGGCACATTTATTTTGGGTAAGTATTACTAATCTGAGTTCATGGTTTTTTCTCTTATGACGATTTATTCTTTCAGTTATAAACCTATTTTGATTAAAATTATAATAATTAAATTAAATTTAAAAGAGCTTAAAGATCAAATTCAAAAATTTAGGTGGTTTTTTCACCAAACTTCTTGTTTATGTTATTCAAAAATTTGAACTATCAGTGAAAGTTTCAGCTATTTTGTGGAATCAGGAACCTATCTAAGGGGCTGTTTGGCTACTGTTTTCAATTTCATATGAAAAAGAAATGTATTTGTTGTTTGGGAAAAAAGTTCGCGATGTTTGGATGATTTATACGTTATTCAAAAATTTAGGTGGTTTTTTCTCCCGAACTTCTTGTTTATGCTATTCAAAATTTTGAACAATCAGTGAAACTTTCAGCTATTTTGAGGAATCAGGAGCCTATCTAAGGAGCTGTTTGGCTACTGTTTTCAATTTCATATGAAATAGAAGTTACGTATTTGTTGTTTGGGAAAAAAGGTGCGCGATGTTTGGATGGTTTATACGTTATATTAACTTAAAAAAATTAGAATCTGTCAAAATTTAAGCCAAACATGCCATACAGAATTTCAATTGCAAATACATTTATAGGGATTCATCCTTTACGACACAGTCGATGAACATCGTCAATTGGTCTTAACAGTAACAAATGTCAATAAAGTGGTACTCTTGGTTGGATGATACTTGCGAAAGTTTCCAGATCAGTGATTTCATAGTTCAAACAAATAGATCAGTTATTATCCCACATATCTGCCTTCTTTTCATCACACATTTATACAATTTAATAAGAATTTTCTTTTATATACAGAGGGAAAATTTTCTTATATCACGTCATTGTCTGGCTTTAGAAACCAAAAAAAAAAATCACCAAAATAAAAAAATCAATAAAATAAAATTACAAATCGCAAAAACAGGCTCTTGCCAAATGGGAAAAAGGTAGAAACCTCAATTGACAAGCTATAATATACACACATGATTTCAAATTGTAGTGGATGGCAACTACAAATAATTGATTACCTATCAGATAAGATGGAGTCACTCCACGAAAGCAGGACATCCCGGGCAACGGACGGAAAGTCTGCAAGATAGACAATCCCAGCACAAGCAGCATATGTAAATCATCTAAAATAAAGTTCAGGGTTTTCTCTGATTTAAAAAAGAACCGATAATCAACCATGCTTAACATTTAATGAAAGTTTTACCTCGAGCTACCGCCACAGCCATAGTAGGAATATCTATTTGGTCTTCAACTAGTCTATAAACATCCACAAGCTATAGAAGACACATTTTTACAGTCAGCATTCTAATGGTTAGAGGCATATCACTAAAAACGCAGAATACTTGCTTCGTGTAACTCGTTTTACATACCTCTTGAATGTGAAGCTTGGAGTCTTCAGTCAAAGCAAGAAGAAGCTGCCTACGGATTCCTTCATCAACTAAGAAAAGGCGAGCTCCGTCCTTGATGGTGTCTGTGAGATCCAATTTTCTTTGAACCTGCCTGTCTCTTGACCTTTGCCTATTGAAATAGAAGTCCTGCTATTAAAATAGTTTCTATAAAGGTCAAGCAGAAATGGAAACAAAATAGAAAAGCGAAGGATGAAAAGATGCATACGTGTCCTTCACTTGCAGTGCAGGGTTGCTGCTCATCTTCGACACATTTTCCTTTGCTAGAACAATTAGGTTTTCAAGCCGTTTCCACTGGAAAATACCATCTTTAAATAGAACCTAACACATAGAGCAAGATTATTACAAAATTACAATTTGAGAAAACATCTATGGCCAATGCAATTTGGATGTGCCAACTAGGTCATTTGGTAATACACTGACGAATGACTGGTTACAACAAAAATTTCCATGGCTCAATGTCAAAGCATAAGAGAAAGAAATTCACATATTGCTATCTGACAAATTCAGCATAGGATGAGTCGTAAAGCAACTTGTGCAATTTCAACCATGCACAGTTGCTAATTCATAACAAAGCCGAACGTAAAAATGATAAATTTACTTCAATGAACCTATACTAAACTGGCCCACGTACTCTTCCTCAAATTATATGCACAAGTTAAAGCACCACTGGCAGTCAAAAACGCATCATCAACATTATATTTAGAACCACTATGGCGAGAAAATCACCAAGAAAAAGAAAAATGAAAATAATAACAATAATAAAGAAGCAAAAAATTTAGTGGAATAATTTGTGACAGAGCCATTTTACTCACAATCTCAATTATTGTGAAGGAGATTACTCTCAACTCCTCTGAGGTTTCTAATATTACAACCGCCTTCCCTCTAGGTTATTGCCATGATTACAACCTCCGTTCCAAATCCAAGCCAGTTAAGCCTTCCATGTAGAGGTCCTTCTCCCCCCACCCTTCTTTCTGCCCCCATTTCATTATAGCATGTGAGCTAGATATGCAGAAACAACTCTAGTGACAATCCTAACGTACAAGCCATTGGAACCTGATGAGTTACTCAAGGCTGTTCACAAAGTCACACTGTCCATTCTGGAGGAAAGGTAATTGTGACTTCTGTACAATAACTGGAAGAAATATATGTGGGTAATGCTACACATCATGAAATTTTTCGAGATATCACTCACAAACATTTATTGTGGGTTCATTTCATCTTATTGCACCACACAAATTTTGTTGATAGAATGAATATTTTTTTTTTCTTAGTTGGGCACTCACACACACATGCCTCCACAGAGGCTTGAACCCCTGACCTCTCTTTGAGAGGTAGGGGCTTGGTACCGCTAGACCACTGGCCTGTTGGTGATAGAATGAATATTTCATAGACGAGCATCCCGCCAAGTTTTTTTTAATTTCATAAAATGGGGAACCTTTATCAATGGACTTGAATTTTAGCCGTTCAATATTATCATTGAAATTCAAGCACAAAAATCAAATGGTCAAATACTTTAAAATCGTGTAAAAGTTGGTGGAGCCCTAATCCAGTGAGTCTTCTTTCTATCCATATGGTTCAAGTAACAAGATGAAATTAACTAGAGCCATAAAATTTTATTGTGATGGATGTCCCAGAAAAAAATAAAATAAAAATCATGATGAGTATTATTTTCCTTTATTATATATACATATAAATAAAAATTCCACAGCAATGGCATCTCACATTTTGTTGATCCAAAAACAACAACAAATTGCGTACAACTTTATATTTAGGAGGTAGATCTTAAAGCAGCTCCTTGGCTGTGCGTCCTCTTGACACTTTTCTCCTTCATTTATTTATTTCTTATTTTGCGTTTTTTTGTCCTTTTACGCTCATTACTGATATTAGAGTGGGAGAGCATTATTTCACCATCATAAGATGGTGCATCAAAATTTTTGTGCGTACTCCAATAAAGCTTCATGCTTTCTCAAATAGAGAGAGAGATTGCATCGTCATTTTCTTTATATACTGCTTTAGGATATTGAAGTTGGATAATTGTACGATAGCTGCTCAGTTTTGGAGGATTGTAAGATATGTTACCAACATGAGAACTTTTTGTGATGGTGAACATGGTAGGATGTGAAGGTATCAATGGCGTGGAAGTGCAGTTTTTGTTCTCTCTCTCTCCCTCCCTCTCCCTTTTATTGGGTTAAATACAAGATCATCACTTCATATACAAAAGATCACAAGGTCCAGTATGCGGCTGAGTGTGCTTTACTGGTACTAGTCACAACCAAGGCATGGTTCGCTGAGATTTGCATAAGCTATTCAAAGATCATAACCATAAATAGATTTGTGTTGTCCCTAAATTGCTCCTCTCATGGAGCTTGAGGCAGCAAAGAATTTCAAACAAGTTATTGTTGACTTGGGTAAGAGCAGGATTGAGGTACAGCAATCCTTGGGTGTAAGGCCAAGTTGGTCCAACAGAAATTCTTAAGCTTGACTAGAGGCGTCACCTCGAGGCGTCACATGTTCTCAGGGCCTTGCATTATCTGGCACTCAAACTCGCTGAACTGAACTTCACGACTTAATGTAACCCCTATGGTTATTCTTGCCTAAATGAAAATGACTTGCTTCTGTGAGTTCCTTGCCTGTGTAAACTGGTGTGTTCTTATTTTGGTCATGCCCTGCAGATGCCCTTTTCAGCCCTGCCTTATGAAGCACCAGTTTCATCAACATGGCATAAACTTTGCAGCTATGTTATTTGCTCAGTGTGCCCTAGTTTGGTGGTATCAAAGACATGAACACTATCATCTTACATGAAGAGATGGTGAGAAACCTTGGTGCGGTGACAATACCAATGTATGACTCAGACTTACAGACTACATGTCAAACTAGTATAGCTGCCCGTGGTCCAATCAGATCGAGTTATAATCAATAGATAAGTATATTAGTATTAGAATTATTAATAATGAAAAAGTTGAGAAAGAAAACATAAAGCAATGCAATTCACACAAAATATGATTTGTCACATAGGATAAGGCAGCTTCCTGTAAATCATTTAACAATAAAAAAATTATATTAATGAACATAAAATCATTTAATAATGACCTACCCAAAAAAAAAAAAGTTCAAGTAATGAACAGTAGAAAATAGAGATGCAACATAATCAATCCCTAGATAAGCACATGAATATCAGCATTATTGATAACAAAATTTTAAAACAAGAAAGGACTAGCTAACAATGGAATTGCTTCGAACAAGTATGGTTTAACACATTTTTTAAGGCTACCCATCAGAATTGTGAAAAAGAAAATAAAAGAAAAGTTATGGAACAATTAACTTTATATATATAGATCATGAACATTACTTATCAAAAAAAATATAGATCATGAACATGAAAAACAGAAAAAGTAATAAACAGTAGAGAGTATAAATGGATAGTCATTACGATGAACTAAACTGACCTGTATGAGGCGTTCACGTAGAGCAGGGTTCGGATCTGTTAGGAGGCGCTTTGCTACATACGGGTAGGCAACCTAGTAGAATGCTTGTTATGAATAAATTACATTAATAAATATAATGACAAAACATAGAAATTCATCGGCATGAGTAAAGAAGTTGGAAAATACTCCTTTTTGCCAAGGTAATTAGATATCTATTATTCCTACTTCATCTATTAAGCAGGTGCTAAATAATAGTATTAATGTATGGGTTTCATGGATAACATGGAAGATTAAAATTTTTAAGAATGTCTCAGTACAATTTCTTACCATGAGGATAAACTATAAGGTTGATAATTATGATTTATATGTGTAATTTGTACCGATATTAGCAAATTAGGTGAGAAGAACAATTAAGATTAGCTGAACTTTTTATCTCTGCACGCAGCATGTTAACAGTATAACAAAATTAAGGCGAATAATATTTTGATTGTATAGTTGTATTTCTTCACCACTAGAATCTCATATAGCATTTGCATAATCCTGAAAGGTGTATATTATAAGCATTTGAAGCACAAGAGATCATAAGATTGATAATATCTCCATTTCCTTCCCTATATGGTAAAAGTTTAAAAATCGTATGAATTATTCACATATTTAAGACATGACACAAAAAGTTAGAAATAACACAGGACAAAGATAAAAGAACAAAAAATTTCACCTCAAGAAATTTAAAATCTGGCTGCAGTGTGAAACAGATGCCTTCTTGAGTTAATAAAGAACGGATAACAAGAGAAAACCTCTCGGGTATCCGGATAGGATACTGGTACACCAGTTGATTGAATTTACCTGCAACATGTAAAACACAGGTCCTAACTGAATGCTCATTAAATGTTTAACAAGAAAAAAGAAATAATTTAATGTCAAGGAATAGGCTCAAAATAGATCATGTGTACTGTGTGTGTAATCACACAGACATAACTCAACAGTGATCAACAACAAATATGACACCCTAAACAAAAGTGAACTCCAGTAAGCACACATGTCCACAACAGTGATCAACCAACTTATATGACATCCTAAACAAAGTGGACTCAAAGGCTCTTGGTATTGATGATGAACCCACCCCAATAGAGGCGGAGACCAGGCATGCAGCTTTAAACTAAAGCCATTTTGTAGATTCAAATTATGCTGAATGGATTTAACAAGGGGAAAAAAGGGAATTCTATGTTTCATACATGAGAATTAATAAAAAAAATGTTCTAATATGCAAATTAGAGAAGGTACCAACAGCAAATGTAACCTGTAACAAAGAAATAGTCTTGAGAAGCAAGAGCGAGAACTGAAATGCAATTTTTTAAAAAAAAAAACACAGGACACTGCATTTACCTGTAACACTTCTGAAGTTAAAATCAGAAAGTCCTTTTCCAACAGAGTTCTGCCAAATTGCTTCTAAAGCTGGAACAATTGGAGAGACATCAGTGCCGCTAGCAAGGAAACCAAGTCTTGTAAAATCATTCGCCATCTCAGCATAATCCTCATTTACAGCATGGACAACAGCATCAATCAAAATCTGTTTATTTTGCTGGGAAAACAATAATGAAAGTAAATAAATAATATTAGTCTTCAAGAATCCTGAAATGGATTAGAAAGCTGGCGAAGCCTAGCAAATCTTTTGCTACATACAAATTAAAAAATAAAAAAAATGAAGAAGAAGAACTATCATATATCCTTCTAATTGAAAAGGGCAATAATAAGTATCATATATCCTTGTTTATTATTATTATTATTTTTAAATAACACTAGTTCGAAAAGTATGTAAGATCCTTCTAATTGTAGGAGGGAGAAAATACAGGTATCAACACTTCTCTGCTTTCTTTTTCGTATCTTTCACAATAAAAGCAAAAAAGTTCTTCATTTTTCAGTTATGTTCTGGGTAGTTCATTTTCCTGAAATTTCAATATTTCTTACCTGCATGATACCCTTATGCTTCAGTTCACAGATTTATTAGTGAGAAAGGAAAATAAAAATAAAGGGAAAGGGAAATAAAAACACAAAACAGTTTTCGATATATTTCCTCTCATCCTTGTATGAACAGACTAAATTTGTTGAAAATAAGAAAACTGAAAATGCAAAAGATATAAAATTTAAACTTTCTTCCTCCCTCCCACTCATATTTTCTTTTGCTCCATGTTTTCCATGGTAATAAAAAATAGGAGAACAATTTCCTTTGCGCTTTCTTGTCAGTTCCTTCACTAAATCTGCAACCAGCAAATCCTTCAATTCTTATATTTTTCAACAAAACCATTTTAACAGTCCTGATAATAGTCCAATTCTTGTCACAGACTATTGAGCTTGGCATAATACTGTACAATAGACATATCTTCCTGCTTGGTCTCATGAACCTTCTTCACCAATTCATGACCTGTGCATCATTTCTCATGTGAGAATAAGTCTGACCCACAACAGCCCAGATGACACTGGCTGAATCAAGAAGAAGATAACTACTACTGATATGTGGTTGCATCGAGTGTAACAACCAAAACATCACCAGTGAGCTCTCTGATTCCCATTGGTCATAAGAAGAATCCAATTACTTCGATTCTTCTTATGCTCCCAAGTTAAATAACCATACAGGCCACGTACCTGAACTGACAAACATGGGCAAGATCACGCTAAGCAATTGACTCCCATTCAATTTTGCAGGAATACTCTGGAGAGATGGGTTATCACCACGGGCAGACACATGGCCTAATCCGCCTCTCTCACTACTAGAAGCGCTTCCACTGACCACTGGCATTTTATCTCAATAAATTCAATAGCCAAAAAGATCCTCCTCTCTCACTACTAGAAAGCTTTCACTGACCACCGACATTTTATCTCAAATAATAAATTCAATAGCCAAAAACACCCAAAGAAATCTGAAAATTAAACTCACTTACCACATCAACAGAACAATCATACAACTACCAGCCTTGAGTTGGATGTCATAAATGTTAATTATTATCTACTCTAAATGATTAAGCTATTAGAGATGGTGTAACTTTAATAATTAAATCCTCCAAAACATCCCCTCATGTGTGACCTTCTTTTGGTCCAACACGTGTTTCAATTTTAATTATCAGGGTGACGGTGAGGTTTGAACTCTGAACCTTACCTACATTGATACTATGCTAACCACCATCTACTCTAAAAGTTTAATATATCAAAGTTCGTGTAACTTCAACATTTAAATCCTCTAAAATATCAAAAGTCAATTAAATACAATCCTGGACAAGAATAACATGCAGCAACACAATAGCATAAGATATTCTAAAAGAGCTGCAAGTCCAAATGAAACAAAAGACAATTCGATCCTTCAAATCGTGCAACCAAATGCAATACAATCATACAGATGGCCTAGTCGCAACCATCTGCGATGGATTGAAGCAAACTATCCAACCAAAAACAGCCTGCTAAGCAGATCAAAAAAAATATATCGCCTAAAAAAGTTCTGAAAAATGAGAAACCCTAGAAAATAGCTTTAAAAAATTCAGGGAAAAAAAAAAAACAGCATGCTCAGCAAGAAGAGTCAATGTAGGAGGATGGTTTTCGGGCCTTAACCTGCTGGTGTCAGCAAGATGTCAGCACACCTCCAGGCCTTTTCCAACTCTTTTGAGTGTTGTGATGTCCTTCCGACATTGATTGCTAGCTCTGATACTTTTATTTATTATATTATAAGGTTTGGATGATTGGGGTTTGAAGAGAGAGAAAGAAGAAGAGAGAATGAAAGAAAGGGTTGTAGGATATTTCTGACATCTCTGCACTAACATATTTATATTAATGAAAAATAAGATTTACAATAATACCCTGCATGGTAATATCCTGCTAATTATGCTCATTAGCCGAATATTCCCACATATTCCAACACACTGAGACTCTTAAGAGGCAAATGTGCCTTCTTAGTTTATCAATCGTAATCTTTCCTTCATTATGCTTGCCTTCTAGTTCTAGAGTTACTCTACACTTGAAGCATATCAAAGTTAAGCATTGATGCTGACTGGAGAGATAAATATCTCTCGATGCCCATTTTCTCTTACCATTTCCTCTTATTTCTTTCTTACAAACTTCTTCATATCAGAAACCCATATGTATTGCAAATAAAAGCTGATGAAGGAATGTTGAGAATATATCAGTGTCCTCTCTACTATAATGAACCTTGGCCTTTCTGTTTTTGTGTTTGCCCTCTACTTATTTTTCTACATACATATATACATATATATATATATATATATATATTTCTAACTAGAATGGAAGTTGGATCAAGAAAAATTTCTCTCATTATTCCCTTCCTTCGTGTCCATTTTTTAACTCACTCCCAAACATCTTTCTTCTGTTTTAAATTAAGGCTTACCTCTAGAGCTATTGATATACAACCAAATATATTATTGTTGAGATTTAATGCTGGGTTAGATCAAAAAATTGTTTCTTTAGCCCCTTTAGTCTTATGTTCTTTGGAAAATCCCACAATTTGCCAAAAGGAGAACATTACTTCGAATTTTTTTCCTTAATGATGTGTAGATCAGAAAAAAGCAACATTCTGACAGCTCTTGGTTGTTTTTGTTGTTGTTGTTGTACATCTGAAATTTATTATACTATTTTCAATAGAGGGTAAAATCAACAAAATAGTGTTTGTTGATAATTTTTTAGGAGATTTATCTCTTTCATGCTAGCGTTTTTTGTGTCGTATATACTCCACTTGTACATGGATTTCACCCAATTGAAGCCTCTTCAATATACTCTTAACTATCACAAAAATCAAAAGAATGACGTTATTTTAAAAGTGCCAGCCAACTAGATGCTTATGAATTTTGAAAAACATTATGGTCTGCCTTTCATAGTAGTCCAAAATCAAAAGAGGAACTGTTGGCTAATGTTTTTAAGAAGTACCAAAAGTTTAACACTATGTGTTGGAAATCATATCCATAAGTTGACTCAATGATTGTGGCAGATTTATTGGGTTTTCAATATAGGCTAATATTTAGGGATTTTATTTTTATTCTGATTTGATTTTATTCTCTTTATTCTGATTTAATTTTATTCTCTTTCCATATTTGTAATTTTCCTCTTGTATATAATGATAGTCAAGCTCTCAAATTGAGTACGCCAATTTTACCAAGTTACTTTTTGGTATCAGAGCCTCAAACCTACGCCTCCCCCCTCTCTCTTTCACCACCTCTTTTAATCTCTCTCTCTATCTCGTCACAGTCCCTTCCCTATTTCTTTTTTTCCTTTTCTTCACAGACCCTCTCTCTTTTTCAGGCCGTTGTTGCGACAGTCCTAGGGAGAGCCAATCTCCTCTAGGTTCGACCTCTGTAGGGGTATTCCCTTAGTCTTTTTCATGCACTAAGGGTCAGAAGACGTGTTTGTAATTTTTTGGGACTACCGGGACATTCGGCAGCATTTTCGGATCAGACCGTCGTGTCTCCGGCTTCTTGGTTTGATCAAAATCAGGTTTATTCCTCCTTTATTTGAAATTATTGGTAATCTGTTGAATTGTTCTATTTAATATTATGGCTGAATCAAGTAATAATAAAAAAACTCTCTTTTCGGCGCAACACACACCGGCTCAACGAGTTACTAGTGTGCTGTTGAATGGCCGTAATTTTGCATCCTGGGCTCATTCCCTCCGCCTCTATGTTGGTGGAAAAGGCAAATCAGGGTAGATTTTGGGTACTGAAAAGATGCCAGATATTAAAGATCCTAAATATGCTCAGTGGGATATGGAAAATTGCACCATTTTAGGATGGATGTTTAATTCTATGGAGGAACGCATTTATAATATATTCATGTTTTATGACTCTGTTAATGACTTGTGGACTGCTTTGAATCAAATGTATGCTCATTCTAGGAATGATGCTCGTATTTTTGAATTATACCAAGATATTGCTAAGGCCTCGCAGGAAGGCCTGAATTTGTCTGTAGCTGATTATTTTGGGTATTTTAGATCTCGCTGGGAGGAACTAGCTCAATATGAGCCTCTCAGTGAATTTCCTTCCGAAGCAGCCTCTCTTCTTGTCAAACGTCTTGATCGTCAGCATACCTATCAGTTTTTGATGAGATTACGCCCAGAATTTGAACCACTAAAGTCTCAGATCTTGAATGCATCACCAATGCCATCCCTGTTGGAAGCCTTTGCTACTGTTGATGGTGAAGCACGCAGGCACCGTTTAATTTAGCCCTCACTTGTTCCTCTACCAGTGTCTGAGCCTGCTGGGGATAGTATGGCTTTTGCAGCCAACTTTGGATTACGAGCTTCTGGAGGTCAGCTTATTTGTCACCATTGTGGAGGGGTTGGACATGTTAAGGTTCGTTACTTCAAACTTCATCCTAAACTGAAGCAAAAATTTTCTAGGAACCATTTATCTGGAACTAGTTCTTCTCGTACTGCGGCTGTTGCAGAAACTCCTGTTACTACTGGTGGATCTACTGTATTTCCTGAACTGAGCCAGCTTCAGTCTCAGATTAGGCAGATCCAAGACCATCTTGGCTCCCTTGCTTCTAGAGTTGAAGCTCCTTCAGCTGCTCCCATTGCCACTATTGCTACAGGTACTCCTACTGCATTTCATGTTAAGGCCAAACAGCCCACTAGGGTTCTGGATTCTGGGGCCAATAATCACATGACTGGTGAGTTATCAGTTTTTTCTTCTAATGTCATACCTGTTACCCAATCTGTGTATCTTGCGGATGGCTCTACATCTTACATTCACAGTAAGGGTGATATTTGTCTATATCCTGATATTACTCTTTCATTTGTCCTTCATGTACCTAAACTTGCCTTTAACCTTTTATCTGTTAGCCGGCTTGCAAAAAACCTCCAATGTGCAGTTATATTCTTACTAGATCACTGTTTGTTGCAGGACCTTTGTTCGAAGAGGATTTTTGGCAAGGGTTATGAGCGTGATGGGCTTTACTACTTTGGGGAACCAATAGGAACGAGTCTTCAAGCTTCTGTCCTACCTAATTCTAGTGTTTATGATGTTTCTTTTCGCACCTTTAGTCTATGGCATGCATGTTTGGGGCATGTAAACTTTCAGTATCTATGTCTATTGTTTCCTTTGTTAAATAAAGCATGTAAGGACCATAAGTTTCAATGTGAAGTTTGTGAACTTTCTAAACATACTAGAACTAGCTATATTTCTCATATGAGTCGTGCTCCTAGTATGTTTGATCTTATTCATTCTGATGTCCGAGGCCCTTCCCCAGTTACTGCTTTCTCTGGACATTGATATTATGTGACATTTATTGATGATTATTCTCGTTGTACTTGGGTTTATTTATTGAAAAAGAAATTTGATGTATTTCTTTTATTTACCCAGTTTCTTCGAATGATCAAAACCCAGTATAACACTGTTGTCCGTAATATTCGTTCTGATAATGGACGAGAATATGTTTCGAATGAGTTCCGGACTGAACTTAATAAAAAGGGGATTTTACATTAACTCACTTGCCCCTACACTCCTGAGCAAAATGGCGTGGCTGAAAGCAAAAACCGTCATCTTATGTCTGTGGTCCGATGTCTTCTGAGTAGTATGCATGTGCCTAAATTCTATTGGCACATGGTTGTTTTTACAGCTGCTTTTCTGATTAATCGTACTCCCGGTCGAGTTTTGGGTGGTAAGGTCCCACTTCAGATTCTCTAGCCTGATTATACATTGTTTCACCTTCTGCCTCGTGTTTTCGGCTGTACTTGTTTTGTTCATAACCGTAGTCCTTCTCGTCATAAACTTGATGATAAATCTATTAGGTGTATTTTCTTGGGGTATTCTGCTATGTCAAAGGACTATCGTTGTTATGATCCTGTGACCAAACATATGTATTATTCTCTTGATGTGACATTTCATGAAACTGTTCCTTTTTATAGTACTAATTCTGTGGTACATGATTCTCTCTCTTTTGATCTGGAGAAGGAGATTTCTCCTATTGCCCGTCCTGTTCCTCTTTTTGAAAATCACACTGTCCTGGAATCTCCTTCTCCATCCATGCAGGGTTCCCCTCCACCTTTGCAGGTCTACTCTTGTCACCATCACACTCAACCTCCCCTGCCAGAATCATCTTCAGAACCAGGTCCAGTTAACTTTCCTTCTCCTATGGCACCTACCATTCCTGAGAATACCTCTCGTTATCCTACCCGTGATCGTCACCCTCCTAATTGGTATGGTTTTTCTAGTAGCACTAACCACCCTATTTCCCAGTATGTCTCATATGATGGTCTTTCAGGTGCATATAAATCCTTCCTGGGCAAGATTGGGACCGTTTCTATTCCTCGATTCGTGTCAGAGGCCCTCCAGGATCCCAATTAGGTGTCTGCCATGACAACATAAATGGATGCTTTACAACATAATAATACATGGGAACTTGTTGCTTTACTTGCTGAGGAGAAAACGGTTGGCTACAAATGGGTCTTTAATGTGAAGTACTTAGCCGATGGTTCTATTGATCCGTATAAGGCTTGATTGGTGGCAAAAGGCTTTACTCAGATTCCGGGTAAAGACTTTAGTGCTACCTTTGCTCCTATGGCAAAGTTGACGCCTGTGCGACTGTTTATCTCCTTGTCTGCTGCCCATTCTTGGCCTCTGCATCAGTTAGATGTCAAGAATGCATTTCTTAATGGAGACTTACTTGAGACTATATATATGGATCCACCCACTGGATTTCGGACTGAGGGGGAGTATGCTGGGAAAGTTTGTAGGCTGCGAAAGTCTCTTTATGGTCTGAAGCAATCTTCTAGAGCTTGGTTTAGTCGTTTCAGCGATGTTGTTCTATCCATGGGCTTTGCGTTGCCACTTAGACCATACTTGCTTTATTCGACGTCGCTCTGATGGTTGTTACATTATGTTATTGGTATATGTAGATGATATCATTATCACAGGTGATGATACTTCAGGGATTGCTCAGGCGAAACTTCATCTTCAAAAGTCCTTTGATGTGAAGGTCTTAGGTCCTCTTCGATATTTTCTTGGAATTGAGGTTGCTAGATCCCGTCGTGGAATTTCTTTATCTCAAAGGAAATATGTTTTGGATCTTCTTCAAGACACTGGCATGCTTGGGTGTCGACTTGCTTCCACTCCTATGGACCCCAATCTCAAACTCTCTGTTGAGTCAGGGGAATTACATTCAGATCCATCCGTGTATCAACGTTTAGTAGGTCGTCTTATCTACTTGACTAACACAAGGCCCGATTTGACATTTGCTGTTAGTGTGGTTAGTCAATTCATGCATGCCCCTCGCTCAACTCATATGGATGCAGTCTACCATATTTTGAGGTATCTTAAGTCGTGCCCTGGTCTTGGTCTGTTCTATGCCTCAGGAAATCAGTCTGGACTCTCATGCTTTACTGATGCAGACTATGCTGGATGTAAGACAGATAGACGTTCTACCTCTGGCTTCTGTACTTTCTATGGTAATCATCTCATATCATGGAAGAGTAAGAAGCAAGCTGTTGTCTCTAGATCCTCTGCTGAAGCTGAATATCGAGCTACCGAGCTATGGCTCAAGGTACTTGTGAGCTCCTTTGGCTTCAATCAATTTTGGGAGAGTTGGGTCTTGTAGAGAAAGGTTCTTCAAGGCTGTTTTGTGACAATAAATCGGCCATTATGCTTGCTTCCGATTCTGTTTTACATGAAAGGTCGAAACATATTGAGGTAGACATTCACTTTATTCGAGAGAAGGTTCAATCAGGTATCATTAATCCTATTTTTATTCCCTCTTCCGAACAGACTGCAGATGTGTTCACAAAGTCTGTTGGGCCTTCTCTTCTCCAGTCTTCCATAGTCAAGCTGGGCTTGGTCAACATATTTGCTCCAGCTTGAGGGAGAGTGTTGGAAATCATATCCATAAGTTGACTCAATGATTGTGGCAGATTTATTGGGTTTTCAATATAGGCTAATATTTAGGGATTTGATTTTTATTCTGATTTGATTTTATTCTCTTTATTCTGATTTGATTTTATTCTCTTTCCATATTTGTAATTTTCCTCTTGTATATAATGATAGTCAGGCTCTCAAATTGAGTACGCCAATTTTACCAAGTTATTTTTCTATGGTTTGCATTTCTTAGCAAAAATAAAGAAATTTGTTCCTTACCCGATTTGGAGCCTCTTCAATATACTCTTAACTATCGCAAAAATCAAAAGAATGACGTGTAATTAAAAGTGACATCTGACTAGATATTAATACCAATTTTGCAATATATTATGGTCTGCTTTTCATAGTAGTACAAAATCAAAAGAGGAACTGTTGGCTAATGTTTTTAAAAAGCACAAAAAGTTCAACACTATGGTTTGCATTTCTTAACAAAAATAAAGAAATTTGTCCCTTTTGCAATTTTTACTCACATCAACACAAGTTTGCCTAGACAGTCCTCAGGGTCTAGTGAAATAATATCGTCATGTAAAACTATTTTAATAAATATATACAGAAAAAGAGAGATTTTGTATCCCAGAACCAAGATCTAGTTTGAGCATTTACTTAAAAAAATTAATAAATAAATAAAAAAGATACCCTGAATGAAAGGGTTTTGATTAATATGTCAAAGATGAGAGAAAATGAGGCCTTCATGAGAGAGAGAGAGAGAAAGAGAGAGGGAGAGAGAGAGGACCCATCTTATTCTAGGACAATATTTCTACTGAAAATATCTTTGAAGTACAAATATTACCTCACTTAGCTCAGCCACATTCCCAAAGTCCACATAAGCAATTCGTCCATCACGCATAGCAAAGATATTTCCTGGGTGTGGATCGCCATGGAACAGCCCGAATTCTAGCAACTGTCGCAGCGCAGCACTCACACCAACAGTCAAAAATCCATTTACATCAATCCCTGCCTCCTTAATAGCCTGAATAACATGGAGTAATATATATAAATACATGAATATAGTAGGCATGCTAAAGCACTGCTGTCAGAAAGAAATATGTATTCAAACCTTTGGGTTAGTGCACCGTATACCATCAATCCATTCCATTACCAAAACACGTGAACCAGAGAGTTGTTTATAAACCCGAGGAATTTTTACAGTAGGATCATCTTTAAAGTTCACCAGAAAATCCTCAATATTACGAGCTTCCTGAATAAGAAAAGTAGTGCCAACTTATTATATGTAAAATTATAATTTTAAATACCTGTGTCAACATAACACGATAAGGTGGCAATTCGTATTTGTGGGTTGTGTTTGTGTCGTGTCGATGTAAGGGTATTATACTAAATAGGTAAACCCAAACTCAACCAATTTAATAATCGTGTCAAGAATCTTCAACACTAACTCAACCCGTTTATTAAACAGGTAAGCGTGTTAACCCGTTTAATGACCTGTTTATCAAAATGAGACATTTAATATTTAATCAAATACTAAATAATAGAAAAAAAAATGGTAATAATTAACCCAAATATTCAAAATAAAAAGAAAAATCATAAGGCATAGATAAGTTTTATGTTAAAATGATTTAACTATCCATAGTAATTGGGTTTAAACAGGTAACATATTACATAGGTCATATTCATGATTATAACATGCTCATTTAAATGGGTCATAAACGGGTTACACGGGTTGAATCCCTCAACCCTAACCCGACACGGTTAAGTAAACGGGTTAATCGTGTCGACCCTTTTATGACCCAAACCCGTTTATGCCAAACCCAAACCCTTTTAACTCGTGTCGTGTCGTAATTTGCCACCCCGACATAAATATGAATAAATACATGGAAGAAGAAGAAAAAGCTTAATTTGATATCAAAGACGGGTAGAAAATTTATGAGACTAGTGAAAACCCCTTTTTTCACCACATTCTATTTAATGTCAATTCTAACTGAGTATATCCTTAAATGATAATAACATATACATTACACTATTGCACAATACATTAAATGTGCACGACACATCTAAATTCCTGTACCCGACTTTTGGACATATTTCAAGTTAGATAAGGCTTTTAGACATATACCCACACCCGCACCCTATACACATATTAAACTCCATGTAACATGGGCATATACTACATCAACATGTACAACGGATACTTTGTGGGAGTTTCAATGTCCATGAAGTGAGAGTCATAAAGTGAACTTACATGAACCTTTTGGCCAGCAAAATGCATAAAATTAAAGCTCCGGACTAATGTGGCTCAATCTAATATTATTTTTATCTAAAGCATCATTTAATTTAATTATTTTGTTGGAAAAAGAAGAACAATGTAAAATAGTACCAAGGTGTAATCAAGCTCCTCCAAAAGCTTCTCACCAAACTCATCGACTATAAGTTCTGCATTGCATCCCAGCTTCTGTAGACTGATTCCATTTAATAATGACGCAAGATTACGGAAAAGAAAAAGATCCCGATAGATAATAGGCTCTATCTGTGGCCTTTGCACCTGCAAGTAAAGAAAACAATATTATCCATGTTAAGCCAGATGATGTCTACTGGTTGGTAGTGAGAGGACTCTTAGTACCTGCATACCCAAAAGTATCCATCTTAATATTTGTTTTATTATTATTATTATTATTAATGACAGCCAATGTTATGAGCTCACTTATAAAATTAATGATGAAAATGTATTTGAAAACAAAAATAAAAAAACCTCATGTTGTATTAGGGGGATAAAGAAGAAGGAAAAGGGAACAAAAGAAAAAAAATTAAGCATTGGATATCTTCTAGGGACATACTAGTCTTTTCAGTGTAATTCCAATTGAGATATGTCTATACAAGTGAGAGAAGAAAAGAAATAATCTCTCTCACACAAAAATTCCCCAAACAATGTGTTCATCTTCGCTTTTCTTTGAACCCTAATTTTAACATGGTATCAGAGCAGGTAGGTCACGTGTTCAAACCTCACCGTCACCCTCATCTAAATTGAAACACGTGTTGGACCAAAAGAAAGCCAGTCGTGAGGGGGCGTGTTTAAGGATTTAAATTACACCCTCTCTAATAGCTCAAGCTTTCGGAGTAGATGGTTTTTAACAAGTACCTTTACCTTTGACCCAAAACTGAAGTTTTAGCAATATCATTAAAATATCCACTTAACCAAAATAGAATAATTTTGCCTCTTTGTTTCATAGAACACAAGTGGTTCTTTACAGTAGCAACACAACTGCACACTTGCACCAACACTTGCTATTTAATAAGATCAGCCATAGAAACAAATTTGCGTAATGTTATAGCCAACTTACATACAATGAAGGTTTCTACATCAAAATACTATATATTCACGAACAATAGATGGCAGATGAAAGTTACGGACTGGTTTGGTAATGTCTTCAAACGTTATTTTCATTTTGACTTTTTTCTAAAACACATCCTGGATGAGGTTCCATTGTGTATGCCGGTTGCTAATCACGTTGCTTTGATTAGTAAAGCTAACATCAGAATAAATGCTAAAGTTGAGATTTAAAGAGAAGTTCTAGAATTGAGAAGGGATTGAGATTAGTAAGACTAGAACTAAATAAATAGAAAATAAAATAAATAAATAAATAATAGAAATACAAGAGGGATGCAATGAAAATTAGAGTCAAGAGACACCAAATGCCAACAATTTCATTACCTAGATTTGATGTGGCTACATTACGAGTAATGCTAGGGGATGAAAAATACCAAAGATAAATATGAGTTGAGATAGTAAGGAAAGATATTATTGCATGTGGTTTATATAAATAAAGTAATGACACGAGATACAGCAGAATAAAAGAAGATATGAAGCCAATCCTAAATAAGAAGACCAAAATATTTGAGTTGAAAATTTCTGAAATATCGAATCATTGAATATATATGTGTGTATGTGTATGTGTATGTATATATATATTAACGAATTCTTTTTGGATCCCTTTCATTTTCTAATAGAATCAATTTTTTGGAGAACTCAAAAAATTACATTCAATAGTTTCTTCAGGAGGGGAATTTTAGAAAAAAATTAGGAATAGTTTTCAAAAACACACAGCTTAATAAATTCTCTATGTAATTTTCAAATTTTGCTTTTTGAGAATATATTTTCAAAAATTATACCAAGCAGGCCCTACACAACATTGACCAAAACTGATATTCCCAACTTTGGAAAACATCACCACCCAACAAATGGAGACTTCTTCAACCCAGCAAATTGGGACGAGTTTCAACTTGTGTGGAGAAGGAATAAATAACAAGTTACGAAAGGCAACACAAAAACCGCTTACAACCTTAATAGCAACATCCTCTCCTGAGGAACGTAGAGTAGCTCGGTAAACTTGACCCAAACTTGCGGCTGCTATTGTCTCTGATGAAATTTTGCTGAAAACAGCTTCAAGGGGTTGGCCCAATTCCTCTTCTATAATTTTGAAGGCAACCTGACAAATTGTTAAACCACTCACTGCTCAAGGAATAGGAATAACACTCATCATGATAAAAGAAAAATGACTCTTAACAAAAACCAATGACAGACTTCAGTTAAGTACCTGATTGGGAAAAGGAGGAACATCATCCTGAAGAATGCAAAGTTCATTCATATAATCTTCTCTAATAATATCGGGTCTGTTTGCAAGAACCTGGTTAAAAAAAGAAGGATGGGGAAACATCCAATCAATAGGGAAATCTAAGAACATAGAAGCATATTAAATGCAGTTGGTTTTAAGTCAGACCATAGCTTAAACTACATTGACAAGTCAAATGTCCAAAATGAGGCAGCTCATGACATGAACATGCATGTAATTATATAAAAAACTAGAAAATGAATCACCTTCTTAGCTTGAGTATCTTAAAATAAATTTATCATACATCAAGCCAATAACCCAAGTTTAATCCTCAAGTCTTTTTCCTAATACTTTCTGTTATAAAGTAACTATAATCTAGTATTGGAAAATAATTATAGAAAATCAAATTGCACATGCAAATATGGCCATAAAATCACCATATCTGGACCAAAATTTAGAGGCAGGTAATCACTTATTGAAAGATAATCGAACCATGTGCAAAGGAATGTGGCAGATCTATTTCCGGGATTCATCGAAGCCTGCACTCATTCCGACCATGGTGGATTTAAACAATACATTATTGAATGCAACACACATAATCTCTTTACTAAACGCCCAAATGGAAGATGAAAACACTTCCAAAAATTATCGAAAGTTTTTCAATTTCTCAATAATACAATACACATTAATTGTGTATACTACTCTAGATATATGATGGAAAAAATATATTATTATTCTCGCTTTCTCTATATACCACATACAAAGTGGATCAGAAGATGCACCGTTTAGAAGAGGAAGAGTTGATTGCCTAGAAGGTAAGCTACAAAGAGGCTGACCAAAACTTACATGAAATAAAGTAATTGAAATTGATTTTAAAAATTAAATATTAAAGGATATATGGTGTATAAAAGGAAAGAATGGAAAACGAGAATTCATGCTGCCAACCCCACCCATATGGGATAAAGGCAAGGATGATGATGATTTTTGGAGAGAGCACCAACCACTTCGATAAACCTTGATTAGGTCCTGTTTAGAATACATCAGAATAGTCTAGGGTAGGTAATTTATTTAGTAAAATATCAATATGAGGGTTGCAAGGATGAGTGTTATTCTCATTCCCAAAACCTTTTTTTTTTTTTTTAATTCTCAATTCTCTCTTTTCCCATGATCATTTTTTTCTGCAACCCTAATTTCAACAGGTTTTGCATTCCGACTTGATATCTGAAACACTGATTGGAGTCATGCTAACGTCATCATGATGTTGACATTAGCATCTGTATGGCCAAAACTCAAAGAGAATATTTCAACCAGCCTTAATTTTCTAAGAATTATGATCTGTGTACAATTGTTTGAATCCATTTTATGTGAATTTTCAGTTTTTGAAAGATTTTTAGAAAAAAAGGGCTGAATTTATAATAAGTAATTCCAGTTTTTGGATGAAGTTTTTGGATAAACCTGACTCTATGGAGTGTGACCCTAGGAAGCACAGCCATGGACATGGACGTGACACAGATACGACACAATACGAACATGACAATACACAAATCTCAAAAAAATAGGACACGACACAGCAAGAATACGTCAATATATATATATATATATATATATACACACACACACACACATATATATTATTATAACTTTTTAAACTTTCCCAATGATACAATACTCATTTATTTGATATATGATGGAAAAATATATTACCATTCTCGCTTTCTCTCTAATTTAAATTTTTTTTTTTTTTCTAACTCCAATAAATTTTAAAATTCGAGGTAAGCCCCAAGGTTTTTAAGAAAAACATTTACAATATGACCCGTCGTGCCCCAAAACTAGTGCTGGCTGTTTCTTTGTGTATCCAGCCATGTCCTCGGCATATCCGTGCCGTGTCTGTCTAAAAAAAAACAATCATTTAAAAATGTGGACACTTCTAGCTGTATTGGACATGTGTCTGGCTGTGTCCTAGCGTGCACTGCCACGGCACCTCTGACGGAGTGTCCGTGCTTCCTAGAGTACGCCTAGGCCGTAAGAGACTTCTTGGTTGATGTCATTACGAAGTTGTCACCATACGGCGGGTTTTGGCTCTCTGTATGGTTCAACTGGCATAGGAAGCTTCCATTTTGTGGTTATTCTTTTTACCTTCACAACAGCGATGCTGAGCTAAATTCATAATTTTTGTTATATTCTTGCTTTCTGAGTATGCTTTGGTGGATTTGTGATGCTTAGCTAAGCAAAGAATTATAAGTAGACAGATAAAAGAGCACACAATAGAGAATGCACAGAACAGTAGAATTTAGCTCAAACCTGCCCAGCTTTGATAAAAGAAGGCCCCAAATCACATAAGAGATTCCTAAGCTGCCGAGCACGAAAAGGAACAACTTCTTCATCACGACCAACAAAGCAATCATACATCAAGGTAGACCAATAGAATCCCAAACTCCAAACTATCTCAATTCCACGACCAACCAGAGACAGAATTGCACCTCTAGATTCCAATACCTTATTCCTTACCTAATAACCAAACAAATATATACACATATACACACAATCGGTAAGAAATGTTGAACATCAAATTGAAGTGAATTTATATATCAAACTGAACAAGTTATGTCAAATCTTACATACTGTATCGGGTGAGTACTTTCGAAACGGAACGCAAACGCCACGTTCGATATCAAGCTGTTCCAAGGCACTACTACTGGGCTTTTTTCCCGACTGTAGTGCTTCGGTTTGGGCCGAAGTCCGGCTTCTTCTTGGACTGCCGTTGATGGAATTGGCATCCGCAGAAGCCATTTTCGATGCTATTCGCTGTAATTTTCCCTTGTTTGTTGTTTGAAACACAACAGTTTGACTACCAATTGAAGCTTGCCGAGACATGTACCCGACGAAATTATAGCTCGAAGAAGTGCATAATATCGATTCCATAGTTGAATAGAAGAGGGCACGAATCTGCAAATGAAACCCTAGATGATTGGGGGAGGTGAGACAAAGGGAAGAGAGAGAGACTGTGGAGAAGCCACGTAAGTTGGGTGATGAATTTAGCAAGTAGGAGCGCGCAGCAATTTTTCAGCTTCAAAATTCTGTTATTTTTAATAAGGAATTGAATCAATCAGATCTGAAAACAAAAACAGACCACACAAAAAGCAGTTTGAAAACGTATTTTTATTTGACAAAAATATGCAGTTTTGTTACTTTTGTACAATGTAAAAATAATAATAATAATAATCTATATCTATATACATTTTTATTATTTTTATACATTTTTTAATGTACAAAAATAAAGTAATAAAAGAGTTTCCATTTAATGTATTGTTTTTTTAAATATTTTTTATAGAGAATATTGAGAATTTATGTAGCTTGCACTTTTTGAATTTACAATCCACCTCTATAATATTAAATTTTTTAAAAAAATTTATCAAATATTATTTCAAGTATTTAACATAAAATTTGAATAACTTGCACCTTTTGAATTTTTCCTTTGATTTTTTTCAACAGTTACGAACTACTTGCATAATATTGAGAATTTAAATAGCTTGCACATTTTAATTTTTTTATTTTTCAACAGTTACAAACTACTTCTAATTTTAAATTTTTATAAATTAATAATTTAGGTTTTTAATAGAAGAATTCAAATAGTTTGCAGCTTTTGAATTTCTTTCAACAATTACGAAATCATCTCCATTATATTACGAATTTAAATACTGTTTTTTATAAACAAAATTAAAATAATAAAGTTTTTCCTTTCATTAAACTAAAAGTGTATTGCAAGAATTTTAATTAAATGTGTTGTTTCTTCTTCTTCTTCTTCTTCTTTCTATGGATAATATTGAGAATTTAAATAGCTTGAAGCTTTTGACTTTTCCCAGTAGTTACAAACCACTTCTATAATAATGATTGTTTTTTTTTTTATCAAATAAAATTTTAAGTATTGAATAGTAATCTTCCTCATGTCATATATTATTATTGTTATTATTTATATTATGTTATTATATATTATTTATAATTATAAAAATATTTATTTGTTTTAAAAAATTTGAACTACATACATTGCGCCTATATTTTTCCTAATAATAAATAAAGATTATTCTAATAGAACAAAATGAAAGTGCAATATATATTAAAAAGCGATAATTGCCATCACACACGTGACAAATCAACTAAGAAATCTTTATTTTATCCTTATTCTATGGACTAAAATGTTTTGGAAAATCAGGTTGGTGCTCCGTATAAAGTTAAGATTACAAATAGTTTTACTTGTATTTATACTTTTTGAAGTGAGAATTTCATCACCTGAAGATGATGCGCTTATATCAAATCCTAATCACCCCAATTGAATATTAAAGTCATGATACAATTAGGACTATACCAATTTTTAAAAATATTTTTAGGATAATTTGTTGCTAAATTATAAAGGGTATGTTGCCAAAATTTGAAAATTTAGGGATTAAGTTGTCAAAAGTTGAAAGTTCGATGAATTTTTGCATTTTTTTCAAAATTTAAACCAGTTAAACCAGCATGGTAGGGAAGGGTTGGAAATTTCATTCTAATCAATGTGATACCTAGTAATGAAATTATCTAGTGTGTCGTTCATTTTAATCATGATATGTATTTTTCTCCGTTTTTCCAATGAAGTAGTTGTATTTTTATTTTATTTTTTTCTATTGACTAAATGAAATATGATTTCTTTATTTTGTACTTCTTTTAATATGTGAACTTGAGGCTTGAACTAAGTAAGATTCCATATAAAATCAAATCACATTTTGCATTACAAATCTGATTCAATTTAGAGAATGGTTATGAACCAAGTAGGCAGCTTCAAACTTATGTAGATTGATCTAACTAAACTAAAGTTGATCACATTTATTACTGACTTACATAAAAAATGTGGTATTATGGTTCGTCATATCGACTCGTCCGATGTTATATTTGATCAATTTATACCAATAATCGTTCGAATTCACCACAAGCGAACGACTGTAAACTATTGAGATATTTTTTCAACTCTTCTAAATAAAAACATAAGTTTGTTTTTTTTTTTTTTTTTTTTTTTTTTCACACCTTTATGAACCCGTCAATTCAACTAGTTTATACTGATATTCGTCTGAATTCGTTACACCACAATCGCAAGTGATAGCGACTTCAAACCATAATAATATCTTTTCAACTCTGCTAAATGAAAACATAACATTTTTTTATTTTTTAAAAAAATATTTTTATGAACTTAGATCATATATATATATAGATGATTAACATTTCTTTTCAACTCTGCTAAATGAAAACATAACATTTAAAAAATATATATATTTTTATGAACTTAGATCATATATATATATAGATGATTAACATTTATCATAAATGACTGCAAATAACACTTCTAAAGAGCAAGGTTTTATTTTGTATTTTATTTATTATTAATTTTTTTTATAATGTCTTTTATATACAAATTGACCCATTTACCCTTTCTACATTTTACCAACTTCAAACCTCCTCTCCCCCTCTGTCTCGGTGTGGCGGTTTCATCCAACTCTCGGTCTCTCTTTGGCTGACACCGCCACAGCGCAAGGGAATAAACCACCGAACGCTCTTGGGGGCGACGATGAAGCAGAGGTTCCGTAAACTTCCGATGAAAAACCACCACAGAGCTTGACCTCCATTTTGTGGCCATTGATGATTCTAAAAGGTCAACAAGTTTCTTGACGACCCAGAGACTAAAACACCAAAGCCGTAACTCTTTCTCTAATCTCTGCGTGTATATCTCACTTTTCTCTCTAAATTTTATTTACTATTATTATTATTTTTTTTTTTGTTTTCTGATTTTGAGTTTTGACTATTCTTCTGATTAACTCGTATCTTATGCCATAGACGGTCGTGATGATGGAGTTTGATTATTCAATTTTGTATTTTTGAAATCATATTACACAAATGAAAATTATTTCACAATTTTTTTTCCTTGGCAAAGTAGGGGGAGGGGGAGGGGGAGGGGAATTCGAAAACTACACACCGCTAGACATTCTACCGAGCCCACAGAGTAATACCCAATTATTTCACTAATCAATAAACCTAAATTAGGATAATGGAAGCGATTATCATTTGCTATAAAAATTGATTGCTCAATAAGATCTTTTTGGTGCAGAGTGGATTTAAAGATGATTCCTTGAGGATTATGAAGGCGATTGTTAAATGCAATGCTAGCTTGCTGCCAGGTTTGTTTCACCAAATCAGTTTTTATTTTTTATTTTTGTGGCAACAAAGAATCAACTCATCCACTAATCACATATTCATCCGCAAATCAAGTGCATCATTTAAGTTCAGACCTCACTTCGACGAGTCTTGAACTAAAGAACTAAGAGGAGTGCCCCCAAAGGCCTTATTAGTTGAGCTAGCCCATGCTGCCTTGCTGCACCAATTAATTGTTATGCTGACTTCTGAATGTTTAAATTGTCTTGTGTACTACCCACTTTGCCTCTGTTTCTTTCTAAGTCCTACATTTTGGTGAAATAGGAAAAAATGACCTAAAGTTCTTATTCTTTTGATTAACAACAGAAGATAAGTACGAGAATATATTTAGTGTGCCCGGTGCACGAAGCTGCCTTCCTGCGCGTGTTGTAGCTCTCGCTGTGCACGGAAGGCTTGAATGTACACGGTGCACTGAATACACCGAATACCTTCTCCATAAGGGGACTAATTGGATATGCAGACATTCTCTAAATATTTGGAAGTAGTAGAAAGAAATGAAATAACATGGACAGAAGATAATTACAAGAAAGTTTGTTTTAAATGCACTCTAATGGATGGGTTACTTAGCATGTTATGAACCAAGGAAATCATTTGGATTTATATTTAGATTTCCAACATCATTTTCCCTTTCTAATAAAAATTGAAGCCTTTAGAAGAATCTATTGAGTTTATTGAATAATGAAATGTTCTTGTTCTGTATCAATAGAATACCAAAGTCATTGATCAACTTAAGAAAAAATGTTAATTTGATAGAAGAGTTTCGGACATTTTTATTTCCCTAGGGTTATCTTTAGGTTTTTGCGTTTGCTTCTTGTTTTGTATAGATTCACAACCCTTCATTCTTGCAATAATTTTTTTTTTTACTTAATGATATTTTTAATTTCTTATTAGAAAAATAGAAAAAGAAGAAGAGGAGGAGGTATTTGGCGAAAGTATGTATAGCAGTGAAGATGTTTGGCTCTTAATTTTTGCAGGGCGGAGTTTTTTGACTCAGATTTTGGATAGCCAAACTATCATTGATGATCAGACAAAAGAATCCGTCATTGAGTTGAATCAGGCGATTGTTGTAAGGCAAGGATGACCCTTTCCTTCCAGTTCTTTAATGCCTCAATTAAGAGGACTTTTAACAACAAATTTTGGAATTAAAAGGAGGTAACAAAGAGAACTGTTCAAGATATCTTCAATTCCGAATTTTGGAACAAATGGATAGGACAAAACGAACCGTCTAGGCGTCCATCTACTCCAAGAACAACAACTTACAAAACAAAAATGGAGGAGACAAGGGAGTCCAAATAAGTAATAATCTTATACAAGAGTACAAGAACAAGAGATTTAATCTAAGTCTAATACTACTCCTGAGAAAAGCAGTAGAGTCATTTTGAATAAAAGTAAAAAATTACATTGGTGTTAATCAGGGACCTTTTGCAATGTCTTCTCCAGCGATATTTATTGACGTCCCAGAGCAGTTGAAGGTATATTTATTAGTGTTAGTTAGGGACCTTTTGCAACGTCTTCTCCAGCATTATAATTGGTACTTGAAAATTCTATTACCATCTGAATAAAAAACTTCACCGTTTGAATTCAAATATAACATTTGTCTGAATTTATCACTTTGCAAAACTCACTTTTTCATACACGTGCTTTTGATTTCATCATAAAATCGGCATATGAGTTTAAACTTATCACTTTGCAACACTCACTTTTTTCATACATGTGCTTTTGATTTCATCGTAAAATCGGCACATGAGAGTAAACCTTTGGATGATTTGGCAAGATGTTGAATCAACCTTACATTTTTCAACACATGGTTGAATTAAAACATTATCTCAATTAGGATGTAAACACTCTAATTAGACTTTACTC